TAGTTCTGTGAAAACATCTGCTTGATTTCTTGACTGCTGCTGCACATCTAGCCGTGTTAGGAATCCTTAGGAAAGGGTTAGATAAGACAGAAACTATTATAGTGCCACAACATAAATCCATGGTATGTCCACACCTTGATTACTGCATACAGTTCTGGTCATCCCGTCTGGAAAAAAAAATTAGAATTGGAAAAGTTGTAAAGAAAGAGCAAAAATAATTAGCATATGGAACTGCTTCCATATGAGAAGAGATTAAAAAGACTGGGATTGGTCAACAGAGAAAAGCAACAACTAAGGGGGGGACATGGCAGAAGTTTATAAAATCATGAATGTTGTGGAGAAAGTGAATAGGAAAGTGTTATTTACCCCTTCATACACCAAAAGAACAAGGGGGTTACCCACTGAAATTAACGGGCAGCAGGTTTAAAACAAACAAAAAGTAGTATTCACACAATGCACAACCCGTGAAACTTGTTACTAGGGGATGTTATGAACGCCACAAGTATAACTGGGTTAAAAAAAAAACTAGATAAGTTAATGGAGGATAGGTCCATCAATGGCTACTAGACAAAAGGATCAGGGATGCAACCCCATGCTTTGCGTGTCCCTAAATCTCTAACTGCGAGAAGCTGGAACTGGGCAATGGGGTTGAATCACTCTATAATTGCCATGTTTTATTCATTCTCTAAAACATCTGGCACAGGCCTCTGTCAGAAGACAGGATATGGGCTAGATGGACCATTAGTCTGACCCAGGATGACCGTTCTTAAGTGACTAAAATAGACTGTAATAGCTCCATTGAAATAAATATTTGTATGTTCACTATCTTTTTTTTGGTATGTATATGTTAATATAGTGAATCCTGCTGGCCACGATAGCCCCCATAAACACACCTCCAAATCTTTTTGACCATTATAGTAAGATGCAGTTTAAGAGAAGGACAAAATTATTCAGGTAACTTTACTTGTGCACATCTGTAGCTCTAACACAAAACATTATCAAGTAAACTAACATTTTTAGCTAGTCCTTTTTAAATATTAGTATTTCACATTTGGAAAAATTGCTAATCTGAAAGTAGCTTTCTTTCCAAGTTGCATTAGAAGGTTTATTTAAATGCAATTTACGTTGGGGGAAGGGGGATGCTGGAAATGCCTTATGCAGGTCATGGGCTGCTAAAGTGAGTCGGTATGGAGATTTAACCTATATAGAGCCTCTATAATAAAAGGTCTTTGCTGAAGTACAGACTTTTTTATATTCCAGAATTCTAAAATATTGTTTGCAGTATAATGTCAATACAATTTCCCTGTTTTTCTGACAAACTAGCATTACACTAGTGCTCGGGCAGGACCAGATGCCTTTTAAGAAAACTTTCAAACTTCTCCCAGTTTTGGGTCACAGATTGATATCTAATAGTTTGTCTCCTTCCTAAGCTTTATGTGAACTTCCTGTTGCAGTTTCTTCTTTTTCTTTTTTGAAGGGGGAAAAAAAAGTTTTTAGTATTTTATCTAACTATAAATGGGGCTTTTTTGTGATGTACTACTTATGATTTGGGAGATGGGGGCTATTTAACTTGGTTTCAGAATTGCTGTATTTTATACTCTCAGGAACTCAGTTATTGCTTCACAAAATGGGGAATTCTTCCCATTAGGTTAAATATAGCAAGGCTGGAAGTATAAAGAAGGAAATGAATCTTCTTTGTCGTTTTAAACCCACTTAGAATGGCTAAGATGTTTCTGATACATTGGTGAAAAAGTGACTGTCAATTCACTGCATATTTATAATTGTATCAGATCAGCTATTGAATTCACGTATGTATGTTTGTACAGACTTAATATGGAAAAACTAATTTATTTTTTTCTTTGTAGCCTTCTCTTCAGTCTTCAAGCCCAGGTAAAAATTTTAATGTAGTATTATTTTTGAGAGGGAGGGGAACACTTCAGTCAAATGTCAGTCATTACCTTTTATTTTTTTTAAAATATTATTGCTATTGGAATTAACACTGCAAAGTTGAAATTAGAGGCATTGCACATTTCCAGTTACTACAGGTTTATCACTGTTGTATGGTTCTAATTTTTAATTAGGTTTGTTAATTGAATAATTAAATCCATTTTTAAATCTTAAAAATAACGTACACCTTTGAAAATATCTTTCCTATGCATCTTATGTTGTCTTACATAAACCATTAGACAGTGAAGATGACAGCTTCCAATTTGATTTTTAATCATTGTTATATTTTAGCATACTTTAATTATTTGTAGTGATTGTAATTCATTCTAGTTATTATATTTGTCATTTAAAAGACACAAATAGGAATATGTATACTAACTGCATTTTTCATTTGCATACATCACAAAACCACCACACAATTTGATATAATTGGCAGCTTTTGATTAGTAGATGACCAGTATTGAAAGTGCAGAAATTTATGTGGGTCAAGATTAAGGTCAATTTACAGAGCATTGTCGTTTGCATAGCAGCTACTTGTATTATGTTTAGAACTTGACTAGTACATAATACGAGACTAGTGACAGTTATATTTGTCCCATGTTTTCCATGCATAAAATTCACTCACGTTAACAGGAAAACCAAAGGCTTTTTTTCACTGATCCTGCAGTACACTCTGTGAACTGTAATCAATAGGAGCATATTTGCTTCTATGGATTACTGAAAAAAAAAAGGAATTTCCATCATCTCTTTTAAAAACTGGTTGATGTCTGATGTTCTGATATGATTAACTCATTTCTGCTGGGCTTTTTAGTGTGCAGTGTTGTAATAAATACTGAGTGCTTGCTTTTTTCACACCTTGCTACTACAGTAACCAGTGTTAATTATATAACGCTTTGTCCAAGATGATTGCCCTAGTCAAGATTAACATCCTAGTAGTTTAAATGCAAGCCTTCCAACATTAGCAGCTTCACTTTTTTGTTGGACTACCTTGTCTTGAACAGTTATACCATTTAACTATGCTTTAGCAATAAAAGCAGTACAAACCCCTAGAGTAGATGCAGTTATATCAGTATAAAGCCTTTTATACTTCTATAACTATATCCACGCTGTACTGGTATAGTTATTTCAGGAAAAAAATCACACCTACATATACTGGTGTTCCGTGAGAAACTGGAGTTTCTTTTAGAATTAGTGTCAGCAGATATTTTTGCTACTTTAGGTAATGAATATGCTGCTTTTGGTTATGAAATTATCTGTTCAGTAAATAGATATTTTCTGCAAATTATGGGGCGATCATTTCAAATGAAAGCCAGACTCTGCTCTGGTGCAAGTCCTACAAAAGATCTGTTTTTGGCGTTGGAAGCTACTGCATCAACAAAAGCCATCAAATCTTTAATTTTTAAGATTTTACAGAGCATCATTGTTCAGTAGTGTTCTTTCATGTAGTGAAAATACCAAACAAAATAATTCAGTACATTATGTAATTGTATAGTAGCATGCATGACTACCTAATAGTGTCGGGTACTATAAAAAGTTGGAAATGTTTATTAAAATAAGTGATTTTTCCATTCCTTTAACATGCAAATTCATGTTTTAAACAGTTTTTTTTTCTTGGAGATTTCTTAATGTCTTTCTGTGATGTAAATTGTCACCGGCAGTGACTTCATAACTTGAAGACATTTACTAAGCTTCTCTCTCATTGCAAAGTAGATGCTAAATTTCACTGTTAATATCCCTGGACTACAACATATTTGAAAACTTAAATATTGCTAAAACTCATTTAATGATAGTTGATGCACTTTATATTTTAAAATGGATTTATAAACATTAATGCTCATAACACCACAGTGAGCTATATAATATCACTTTTTACAGATTTGGAAACTGAAACACAGATGAAGTTACTTGCCCAAGGCAAGTAGTTAGAAGCGCTGGGATTATAAATCTATAGTTCGTGGGCTTCAGCATTGTGCTCAGTCTGTTAGCAGTCTTCCTTTCACTTATTTTTTCACTTATTACTGCTAATTGTTACTATATCTAGACTTTTTTACAAAGAATCATGCGAAAGGGGGGGTAAAATAGGTAGAAAATTGCCTGAATGCCAAGGTCTTGACCAAGTGTGCAAAGTCTTAAAACTTCCTTCTAATCTATAATTATGAATAACAATACTCCATTCATGTCCTTTCAGTTTTAAGAATGGTACCTTCCAAGAAGCCAAGAAAATTCCCATCATGTACATCATGGTCAATATTTGTAGTAATTTACCCAGCGTAGAACTCTGGTGCAGGCTGTCGAATATCTCAGCTTTTGAAGACACCAACATCTAAATTATCAGTTGTATAGAGATCAAGCTGAGGGCTGTGTGTAGCAGCAGTTGGTTTCATGCAACTGTGCAGTACTTTGAAAACTGAAGTCAAACCCTCACCTTTGATTCTTTCTGTAGCTTTTGACCATCTAAACAGAGTATGAACCTCTCCTTTGAATAAATAGGACAGTTGAATTCTTTAAAACTTCAGACTTTGCAAACGTCTTTCGTCTAGATTTTATTTTGGTTTGGTTATTGTTGAAATTTTTATTCATTCCAAGTAGGGCTATCAATTAATCGCAGTTAACTCACGCAATTAACTCAAAAATTAATCACAATTAAAAAAAATTAATTGTGATTAATTGCAGTTTTAATTGCGCTGTTAAATAATAGAATACCAATTGAAATTTAAATATTTGGATGTTTTTCTACATTTCCAAACATATTGATTTCAATTACAACACAGAATACAAAGTGTACAGTGCTCACTTTATATTATTTTTTATTATATTTGCACTGTAAAAATGATAAAATAAATATATTTTTCAGTTCACCTCATACAAGTACTGTAGTGCAATTGAAAATGTAGAAAAATCCAAAAATATTTAAATAAATGGTATTCTATTATTGTTTAACAGTGCAATTAATCGCGATTAATTTTTGTAATCGCTTGACAGCCCTAATACCTAGCTAACTCCTTAAACCCATGATGTGATTGATCAAATTCTTTTCAAATTTTTTATACTAGGAGGTTCAGCAACGTCTGATGACCATGAATTTGACCCGTCAGCTGATATGCTGGTTCATGATTTTGATGATGAAAGGACATTAGAAGAGGAGGAAATGATGGAAGGAGAAACAAACTTCAGTTCTGAAATAGAGGATCTTACAAGGGTAAATGGCACTTATGGGTTATAAAACAAAAGTATTTTATGCAAGATGGTTACATTTTGTTGGTTTTTGATCACAAATACATTGGCGAACAAATAAATCCTAGGAATGGTGACCTGTTGAGGTACTTTGCAATTAAAAAATCTGTAGCAAAGAAGCTGATATGTATATAATAGACTGGAATGCTTGTTGAGGTATAGTTTTTTTGTTTATACCTATTGGTGTAGATGTCATATTTTAGACCTATCACAAACGAAGTGCTCTAGCTAAATGTTTGTTTTACATAAATTGATTATTCCCTGTTCATTTGATTAGTACATGTTAGTTTCAAATTTCTGTAAATAAACTCCTTCGTCCCATAACTTTTTTTTTTAATTTTACATTTTAAATTCTTTATACAAACATTCATCCTCATACCAGTCCTGTGATGAAATAAGTAGTATTCGCCCCATTCTGTAGGTAGGGAAACTGAGACAGGGATTAAGCAATTTGCCCAAGGCCACATCATGAGTTGTCAGTAGAGCTAAGATTAGAACACCAATTAATGATGACTATGCATACATCTTAAAATGTGTACTGAAAATAATTGCATTCTAAGATTTATTTTTTTTATCTTGGGCTCTTGCTGTCATTTAAATACTGCTTTAAGTGGGCTCTTGGGGGATATGAACTTGGCAGAATTTTGACTTCAGTTGCAACTGGTTATTCAGTCAGGAACAATACTTTGTGGCTTAAGGATGTTCATAATGAATTCTAAACTAGTTTAAATGTAGTCTGTGATTTCATTGGTTGAAAGGCTTTGAGCACATGTAATTATCTTCAAATTTATATCTAAAGTACAATTTTCTTCAACTACAGTAAATCACTACCAGTTCAACTTTAAAAAGCTGTTTAGCATGTTTAATCTTTAGTAGCAATAATGAATGGTCACTTACATTTGTAATTGCAGGTTTGATATTAAAGATGAAAATGAAGTTAAGTAAATCAGTTTATTACAAATTTGGAGACACTTTGTCTAGAAAGGTGAACTCTGGGAAATAGGAATCCTCAAGTATGTAGAGAGAGCTTTCAATACAATTGCTTTCCTTCCTTATATTTTATATAACTTTTTCAAGGGGCAGCTTGGTGGTATAGTTGTGTACTACCTTGTGATGCCATGGCAATGATCAAAGGTCAGGACCAGAGTTTGTTCCTTGGCAGGAGTTGGAAACTATGGTGGGTCTCCATGTTTTGGCTCTCTGCTGAGCAAGACAATGAGCAGTGTTGCTGTTTAGATCTAGGAGGGAGCCATGTGCTACCCCTCTGTAGAGGAAGGGTGTTTATAAATTGGCCCTGTATTCCACTGTACAGTTATCAGCCTGTTGTGAATGGATCCTTGGATCCAAGCCATCTAGGTCTGGGCAAAATTTAGTCACTGGTTCTAGCTCTGGAACACTCTTCCCAGGCTCAGATCTCTTGTCTGACACCCTTCCTTGAGATGTGGAATGCCACCATCCAGCTCCTGCATATCCTGAAACCAGTGTCAGACCTCCCAAGTCACATGCTCCATGAGTTCCACCTAGGTTGTGGGCACTCCGGGCTTACTAGTTTAACCCCTTCAGAGACCATGTAGTAGGAAAGAAAGGAACACAAGTTTAGCAAAGGAAGTGCTTAACCATAGTGACTTTACTTTTAAAACTTCAAGAGTTATAGATCTTTGAAAATAACACAAAGTCCAGAGACATACCATCCCCTAGTCTGAGCTCACCCCTATTTATGAGTCCATGGTTTGTCAGCATTTCAGGCTGGGCAGTCTCTCTTGAAGTTCACACGTGGTGGTGATTGGCCCCCTATGGAGAGTACATCCTCCATGGCCTTAAATAGGGCCTCAGACTCTGTGCCATGTGTTCACAATAAGAAGCTCCAGATCTAACTGTCATGTTTCTGTTCTCCCTCCCACTCTACCTTTGTAGGCCCCTGTGTAGAAAAAAAACAACATTGTTTCATGGGGGTGGGCCAGTAGCTGAGAAATGAAGTGATGGCCCTAGTCTTGATGGATCTCAGTTATAGTCCCTTCAAGGTGTCATACATCTTTCCTGGGCAGGGTAGCTCTCTGGGATACAATATCTGCCCTGGGGAAAGTTCAGACTTGTGCAGTTACAGTGCTTATATTTCTACAAATAGGACAACATAGAGATCATAATTTGATACTCACCTTGTCACAAATGGTTGCTAGAACCCGAAGCTTTTTTTGGAGTGTAATGGGGTAAGGCAGGCTCAGAGAATCCACCTAAGTAAAGAGAGATAAGGTGGGTGAGGTAATATCTTTCACTGGACTACTATTGGTGAGAGAGACAAGCTTTCAAGCTATACAGAGTTCTTCAAAAGAAAAAAGAATATGTAAAAAATTTGCCACCTTACTCAACCAATCTGCTGCTTGTGTCCTGTCTGCTGGCTTCATGATAAAATATATTTTTACTTTTTTTGCTTTTTGGGAGCACTGTAATGCTAAGGGATTGTCAGCTTGATTCCTTGCTTCTTTGGGTACATCCAGACTACCTGCTGTATCAGCGGGTAGCGATCGATTTATCGGGGATCGATATATCGTGTCTCGTTAAGACGCGATATATCGATCCCTGAACGCGCTCCCCGTCGACTCCGGAATTCCATCGGAGAGAGCGGCGGTAGCGGAGTCGACGGGGGACCCGCGGCCATCAATCCCGCGCTGTGAGGACCCAAGGTAAATCGATCTAAGATACTTTAACTTCAGCTACGCTATTCACGTAGCTGAAGTTGCGTATCTTAGATCGATATCTTCCTCACCCCCT